AAAATATGATAATATAAAATGATGAGAATCAAATCCACCAAATGATAATATGGTTATGGTTGCATTAAGTGTCAATCAATTTATAAAGTAAAATTACATATAGAATGATGAAAATCTGATCCACCAAATTATATAATATGATCATAAACCGTTTTACGGTGAATTTGGAACTTCCTCGGTTATCTATGATCAATCATCAATTTATTAATCATATTAAATAAATGAACGGTAATGAAATTAGAAGAGATTTCATACGCAACAACAACTAATTGACAAACAAAAAGTGAAATAATTGATTGAAGTGACACACATGAGTTGAGTTGTACCGTACAAGTTAGCAACGCCATAACCAGCAGGGTGGATGAAGCAGAATCCTTCTGATCAAAATTATATATCTAGGATTGGTTTTAGGTTATATCAGATTTTAAGATTTCACAAAAAAACATAATTCTAAGATATAAATTCAAAACATAAAAAACATCTGCAACATTCAGAAAATTTTTAAAACATTAGTCACACACACACACACACACATATATATATATATATATATATATATATATATATATATATATATATATATATATATATATATATATATATATATATATATATATATATATGAGTAGGATCAATTAAGAACACCAAAAAGGTTGAGAACGCGAGAACAGATCTGGAGCTTCTAAATAATAAAATCTACGGCTGTTATCAAACGGGCCATTTATGTAAATTCTAAAATTACTTGTATTAAAGTGTAACTTTTAAATGGTGAAAAAGGTATTACAGTAATTGTATCTTTAGAAACGTTAATTAATTCCTATAATTTCTCAACCATCCACATATTTCCTTTAATTCCTGTGACTCTCTTTATCTATCTTTTGTAAATCTAGGGCACGTCGCACGCCTCACGCCTCACGCCTCCATCTTCTGCAGACTAACATCACAGAGCATGTCCACCTTCATCATCTCATCCTCCGCCATAACCCCTATGGTGAGTGGAGTCAACGGCTTAGCATCAATCAACCTCACCCTCCACCTCTCCTTCGGACAACTCCTTCACTCTTGGTCATCATCGCTTACCTTCACTCACATACTTCACAGTCGGTACAGATCACAGGAGGATCTCTGGGAGTACGTGGTGCATCCTAAGCACGTTCGCGTTGTCAACGAGAATAAATTGATCATTGATGACGTCATGGCCGTTGATTGGATGTTTAATGGTGCTAGTGTCTCACCGAAGCCAGGGTCGGCGATGAGAGTTACATTTCTGAAGTTGAAGGGGAATTTAGGGGAACATGAGAAAGCTAGGGGTTTGGAAGTGATTGGAGGAATTAAAGATCAGTTTCAAGCGATTGAACAACTAAGTTTGGGTGAGAATTTCTCTCATGAAAGGGAGAAAGGGTTTACGATCGCTTCAATTGCTGTTTTGCCTGGGCAGGCTGATTTGGAGGCACTGGATTCAAATTCGGAAGGTGTGAACTCGCATGAGGAGAAAGTCGGTGATTCCATAGAGAGCGTGGTGATTGTTGATTACCTGATTCCACTTCCGCAAGTGGCTAACCTCTAATGGATACCTGTTCCAGGTTCTCAATTATCGATCTACTCTTTTTTTGTTCTAATTGATTTTTCTAAATCATCAGTTCTTTGTAGGAAAAGAACACGATTCGTGCATCACTAGGTAGCTAAGTTTCTTTTTTTCAACCCTTTTAATCATTCTCGCATCTTTACTTGGTTGTGTTATCAACCTTGTGAAAATCTTGGTTGCAAGTGGAGAACTTGATCATGAATTATGAATTTGTGATTGTTGTTTGTATTTTGTTATGGAAATTTAAAGTTATTTTATTGAAAAGTTTAGGAAACATTATAAGAGTAGGCATGTAATGTATTTTATTCACTATTGATTGTATATCTTCCATTACCGCTTGTAACATGATTCATTTTTGAATAATGATTTTTTATAATTTTGTAATATAACTTTGTTTTTCAAATTCAAGAAAATGATGTGGCTAGTTCATCAAAGGTATTTTTCATAGTGGATGACTATTAGGAAACATTCAAGATTATTTAGAAGACTCTCAAGGGAATGTCCAAACCGATAAACCAGATTTTATAAATTGGTTGTTTGAGTTTAATCATCAATGAATAGAACTATATTATAATAGCATGTGTTTATACCTTAATGATTGTTGTTTTGAACAGGTTTAATGTAAGAGCTTGATTTTTTGAATAAGGATAACTGTAAGCAAGGAAATCGACAACATGATCAAGGACACCCCTCTTTGAATTCATTTATGATTAGTGGTATATTTATCAATGAATATAACGAGTGGAAATGTTTAAATTTAGATGTCTTTTGTATTTTGTTAAAATATATTCATATATGGTTAGAAATGTATGGTTGAATTTGTATTCATGTATGATTATGATTAGATGTTCATTCTTTTGTAATGAAATGATTTCGTTTAGAGTTGTATTCATTTATGATTATGATTATGATTAGTGGTTTCTTCTTTTCGAATGAAATGATGAATTCTCAAACATTCTTTGTTTTCAATTCATGAAAAAAAACGAGTCTAATCATTGCATCTTCACTTATAATTATGACATTACTTGATAAAACTAAAGCAAAAAATTAGCAAAATTTTATTCTATGCATTCAAGATAAAATAGTTTGATATTTATTCATTTATGAATATGAATTAGGCAAAGCAAGATAAAATCTTTTGATTTTTAAATTCAAACGGAAAATTGTTAGAATTTTTTTATGTTTAATTAATAATATAAAAACAATGAATAATTGTCGTTTTTAGTAACAGTAATTTGAATCCCTAAAATTTAGTAACATACCATTTTTATTTTATTTTTTATAATTTAATTAAAGGGCACATTTACCTAGATACCCTTGTATAATGATTGGTTCAAAATTGTTCTCGCGTTTTCAACCTTTTAGGTGTTCTCATTTTATCCTCTCCCTATATATATATATATATATATATATATATATATATATATATATATATATATATATATATATATATATATATATATATATATATATATACACACACATGAATGGTCCCTATAGTTTAGATTAATTTACGTTTTTGGTCCCTAACTTATTTTTTTAACTCGGAAGGTCCTCATTGTTTGTTTTTGTTACGTACTTGGTCTCTGTCTTAACTAAAAAAACCAATTTCCCTTGATTTTTTAATTTATTTAAATAAACACACCCACAACCCTACCCTCATCACCTCACATTACTTACCCCACCATTTTTTCCTATTGAAATAATAGTTTTTTTAGGTAAGACATGGACCAATCGCGTAACAAAAACAAACAGCAGGAACCAAACACGTAACAAAAACAAACAATAGAGGCTTTCTGAGTTAAAAAAATCAGTTAGGTACCAGGCACACAAATTACTCGAAACCATAAGGACCTTTCGTGTAATTTACTCATATATATATATATATATATATATATATATATATATATATATATATATATATATATATATATATATATATATATATATATATGCTTAGGTTATTCTATCCAAAGTAATTATTGTGTTAGTGTATGCTTAAATGTGAGCCGATCAAATTTACTTATTTTAAGAAAGTGATTAATATATATTATTGAATTAAATATAATTGAAAAATATCATCTTAATTAATTACAAGGGTAATTTAGTCAATTAATATAGATTTAATAAAGGAAAATTGTATTTTTTTAAGAGATCATAGATTCTATTATTTCAAAAATCCGATTTTACGAATTATAATTCTTTTAATTCGCACATTCTAAAAGAATATGTTTTTGAGCATGGTTCTAAAAAGCGCTCCATGGCACGCCTCAAGGCGTGCTATGACGCGAGGCGTGGTGTAGCCGTTACGAAAACGTCCAAGGCGGATTTGTGAAGCGTGACGCCCAAATAACGTGTCAATGCGCGCCTTATCGCGTTATGACGCGGGTTTTTTTTAAGGCGCAGTTTTTTTTTGTTTTTTATTTTTTATCAGGCCTAAAATCAATGAGTCTTTGTTAACTTTTTTCTATTAGATATTAATATAACACTTCTAAAAACTTCATATATTTGATAAAATTGAATAATTATATGATTTATATCTTTTAATGTATATAATATAGTCACGACTTGAAAAACGTCATGGCTCGCTAAAGGTTGTCATGACTTAACTTTTATCTTGCCGCCAAGTCACGCCTTACGTTATTTAGAACCTTGTTTATGAGTATATTCAAAAATAAAAATATTCTTGAACCATAAATAATAAAAATATTCTTGAACCTATTGATTGATCATGAATTTAAGAACGTCTCGTAGAATAACAAATTCTTGAATAATCAATTGAAGAATAAAAACAAAAAATACATTATTTCTTATAGAATACGGGTAACAACTGTTAAGAATTACATTTATTGTTAAACTAAAAAAACTTTCAAAACGGGAAAGAAAACATCAAAATCTAACAACAACTAATACATTCTAAAAAATAATGTGGTTCGTTTCAATTTTGTGCTCCGTACTTCAAGCGTCAACTTCCGTGATTCATACAGAATTGGAATTCGTGATTCCATTCCAACATAATTGGAATTCGTGATTCCATTCCAATAGAATTGGAATCTCACCAATATCATCCATTGAATCATCTACATAAAAATACTTGATACCTTTTCAGAATTCAACATTGTTAAGATCCTACACTGTCCACATAAATGAAATGTTAAATCAGAAAGAAAAAAAAGCATAAATTGAAATATGAATCAATTCATAAAATGCAACCAAAAAACTGCTCATTCTGATATGTATATTAGTCTCAAATAAAATTAAACCACTAAAGGATGTCATTTGTGAATTAGAAATAAAAAAATCAAATCCCTAGCTTTCAACAATTAAACCAAAACCAAAGCTATACACAAAAAGTTTACAAGGCATGATCAAGGGCTAACCAAGCATATGGAACAAGTCAAATCTATCTCAAGCTTCACATCATCAGATAGCTCACACGAAACTGATGGTTTTCATCATTAAATATAAGAGAGCAGCCTTCTAATATTTCAGAACCTTTCGTTATAGCTTTCTTTGATTCCCTTAAGTTAATGTGGAAGGAAATAAGCTCACAAATCCATGGAGACTGAAGGAGTTCCATGTACATGCTCTGGACTTGTGACCTGAATGCTTGCCCTTGTTTAGAGTCATGTATCTGTAGTAAAAAAGTAATGAGTGCTCAACTGCTCATGTTTTATTATGAAGAATCTAAAAACACTTTGATAATTAAGAGATAAATAAAAACCTTATCATATTTTTTAAGAATTTTGTGCATAGCAATGGCATCAATAACTACATAAGCAACAATGTCCTTGCTTTCTTGTATTAAAGAATGATGGTTTCCATGTAACTTGCCTTTGCACCACATGAAGTACTTATGGAAGCCTGTTGCCAGATGAACATCAAGCACCTTTTGTGCATGCTCATTAAAACATCCAACCACCACAAACATCTCCTTCATAAGGGAAGGAAAAAAGCTTCCATGATAGAGGACATGGGTTGAAATGGCAGAGAGATTTGCGTATTATGGCGTCAATTAAAATTTAAACACATACTTGACCTGTCCCTTGGGGCAATCGACGATCACCACCGCCGAGAATGTCAGCACGTGGACTGGAACATCGAGGCTTCTTCCTCTTCTTGGCGCTTTCATTGCTGAAGCTTTTCTCGATCGATAGCTAATGATTATAATTGCTTCTCTACTTTAATAAATCATTAACTGGATGCTCTATGCCTCTATTGAAATCACCTCGATAATGTCTGATCACAAATCCATAATTGACAGTCGCTTGGGTGTGAGGCCGATGGTAAGGGTGTGAGGTGATTTATGAAGGGGATAAATTTAGTGTTAGAAAAAGTCAGTGGGGACGACTCTAGAATATAATACCATGATTATAAGGATTATTTTTGGAAGTTATTAATCATATTACTAAATTACCCTTCTTTATTTTTTAATTATTTAATTTTTTATTTAATTTTAATTGACCCACATTTATGCATATAATAACACAATAAATACTTTGAACACCTGAACCTATCTCTCTCTCTCTCTCTCTCTCTCTCTCTCTTTATATATATATATATATATATATATATATATATATATATATAATTTTGATTGACCTACATTTATGCATACAATAAACATAGTAAATACTTTAAACACCTGAACCTATCTCTCTCTCTCTCTCTCTCTCTATATATATATATATATATATATATATATATATATATATATACCTGCGCCAAGCGACATTTGTGAATTTATTTTTTCAGAAATTAGTTTTTAGAGACAATTAGTTCTTTTAAGCAAATAGTTTACCACATCTAAACAATTAGCAATAAAAGCCATGCTACCAGAAATGAAATCAGTAAAAATTAAACATATATATGAACACATGATTGATTCTGCATTATTAATTGTGCAACACTTCTTTATATACCACATATGATACTCCAACCTTACTTTATTTTTATATCGAATCATATTTTTATATTTTGTATTCGAGTCCCCTTTTAATATGTTAGATATCATTATTAAAATCTAAATTTGCATATAAAAGATATAGCCCCTTTTAACATTTATGCTAATACTCTTTAGGCTTAATATTAATAAAGACCTTCTGAATTAAACATAAAGTTTAGTTTTTATTAAAACACATGACATTTTTTTTTTTAGTTTTTGATTTAACTCATTTCTTTGTCTTTTCTCAAACAAATTGTCAAGTAATTATATACGGTGTTGGTTTGATAAACATTGTGATATTTAATTTAATAAAAATATTTGGTTTAATCAAATACATAAATTTATTACAGGTATTTTACATGATATTTTGTTAAATTTAAAATGAAAAAACTCAAACTTAGCTAAATTTATCTTACAGAGTATAAATACAACAAAAGATAATATTTAATTGTGTTGTATCCAATTTTTGTTTTTAGATTGAATGAATTTTACCTAAAATCAAAACAAAAAATAAATCATTGAATCCCACAAACCTTTTGCCATAGCTTATTGAAAATCACATACCAATAATAATTAACTTAAAGTTGCAACATGTAATAAAAAGATATAAAAAAATTATAATGACCATTCCCCTGGCCCAAAACAAAAAGGAATGGATAAAAGAGATTTAAGGGTAAAATCGTCCGATTACAATATAATTCCCTAAAGATACCATTCATATTGTAAGAAACTTGAAATAGAAGATCATAATGATCAACATCACATTCTCTAGCACAAAAAAAAAAATGAAGGATAACAAAGATCTTAAGGGCAATTTCGTCCAAAATGAGTGACAATTATCCCTAAGGTACCAAATAAATCAATATTCAAGCTCCATCAAGACACCAAAGTGCATAAGTAGATAAAACCTATATCCGAGGACAAAAAAAAGGGAGTTTCTTGTGTGTATTTTGGCCTATTAAAAAAACCAAGAACCTAGAAATAAAAGTTGATTACCATTTAGAAATTGTGTACAATAATAAAGGAGTAAATTATTGAAATCGTCCATGTGGTTTGGTCAAAATTGCACGTTTGGTCCATAACTTTTTTTTGCACTCGGATCGTCCCTGTGGTTTGATTTTGTTTCATTTTTCGTCCCTATGGTTTGGTAAAAATTGCATGTTTGGTCCCTAACTTTATGTATGTAAGGGACGAAAAATGCTACAAAATCAAACCACAAGAATGAAAAACGCAACAAAATCAAACCACAAGGACGATCCGAGTGCAAAAAAAAAATTAGGGACCAAACGTGCAATTTTGATCAAACCACAGGAACGATTTCAGTAATTTATTCTAAAAAAAGAGTTATGATCAACTGAACCAAAAAAAGAACATGCAAATATTAAATATTTTGTACAGTTAATAGGAAACACTTAACCGGAAACATAATATGAAAGATACTAATTTGGCTTTCTTGTTAGATATTCCTAGTTGACCACATTCTAAATTCAATCCATAGACTCATGATTCATATCAACTATTATTGTATCAAAATATTATTCAACAAACTACGTTTTCGTCAAAAAAAAAAACTTATGTTGTCGTCATAAATTTGAAGAATATGCATTTTTGTCAAAAACTTAAGTCATGGTAAGAAAACCAATTGCACCTTATATTTGTGTTGATGTTAAAAAACCAATTACACTCATGATTTTCCTATATGAACCATAATGACAAAAAAATTATTTTATAATATCGAACTAACCGCTTAAAAGCCTTATCACTTTCAAACTTGAAAATGTAGTCGAAATCGAAATCATTGGTAAGCAAAAAAACAACTGGTGTAAACATTTGGTCAAAATACAAAAAAACATGTGGTATGAGCAATTTGAACCATGAAATAAATCAAGTATAAATAGGGAAAACATAATTATAAACCAAGATGGGAATAAGTACAAAAAAATCTAATAATGTCTACAAATTTGTTAATAAATTGGTAGAAAATGAGATTATTACATAAAAATAAACAAAGGGGCACTTGAGATATAGATCCAGAATTACCAATATTTCTTTGAATGAATGATAGAAACAGGACCTTAACGAAGAAACAATGTTGTTTAGCTTGTCCTTTGCTTTCTCTTTCTCTCCCAACAAAACCGATAAGAATTACGTCATTTATACCTCTACCTCAATATTAATACACAATAAGAAGAACAAATACATAAAACGAATAAATTAAGAATTAAAAGATGGTATAGATTTTGTTTTTATTATTGTTTGAACCAAAAATTAGTACGCAAAAAGCTTTTGTGTTAATGGTTTCAAACAAATTTTCTCTAACAATGGTTTCAAACAAAAACATTACAATTAAACAACTAATGTAACGACTCAAGTAATATAAATACATAAATATAAATAAACACAATATGCAGTGAGTATTTATACTCCATATGTGTATAGAAACCAAATTTTGAAGTACCAATAAAGCTTTCCTATTCTAGATAAGTGAAGTGAGAAACTTGATCAAAGTTGAAAGTTCAACTGTTATACCTTCATAATTAGTCGAACAAAATTTTTCACCTACCTTAATTCTCGGTTGCTCAATATTTCCAAAAAAAACAAACATATAGTTCATGATTGGTCCAATTTCAAAAAAAACAACTACTATAAGCTATAATATTTATTTTTTGGTGTTGGTTATACCTTCAACCAGACCGGACCAAAGGGTCCAACGAGCTGTGGGACTGGAGGGTCCCACTGAGACACATTGACTGGAGGGTCTTCCAAAGCTATAGGCTCGAGTGGTTAATTATTTTTTAGTGGTATTTTGAGGAACTTACTAAGCTTTATGCTTACCGTGTTGTGTGTTATGTGTTTCAGGTATATCTGAAGATTGCGGGAAGGCACCGACAAGATTGTACACACCTATTTGAGATTATGTTGATGGTTATGGGAATTGACTTTTGTTGTGAATTTATGTTGACATTGAGACACTTATGATTTTCATGAAATATATTATATGAGTTTATGTGTTTTAAAAATGAAAATTTTGGTTGAAAATTTTATGTCGTTACAAGTCACCGCATCTGTAATCATAAAATGAAAGTAAGGGTGTTTTGGGAAAATCACCGTTCGCGTGCAGGCTAATTGTATACACTACTCTTTCTCGTTTTTCTCTTAGAGACTCTTACTCATTTTAGAAAAACCGTTTCTCTTGAATTTTTTTCTCAATTCATCAGTTTGAGTCCAGACATACCCGAAGGTGCATCCGAATCCCTCAAACCAAGGCTCTGATTATTTTATGATTGTGTATTAGAGATATCATGGTGGGTACACACCACAACCTTGGGAGCAGTGGAGTTAGCGATGATGCGATTCGCATGATGATTCACGAAGAGGTGCCCGCAACTATCCGAGAGGCCATCCCAGAGATGTTTGGGTCTATCAAGACCACCTTGATTAAAACGTTTGATGAGCGCTACATTGCGTTTACCAAGGCGACTGCTGCTGCAGACACCGCAACTGTCGCTGCTGCCAGGCCACACGTGGGTGACTCGTTGTTGTATCGGGAGTTCACCAACACGAAGCCACCGAAATTTGATGGGACTCAGGAGCCGATTACCGCAATGAGATAGATCTCTGACATCGAGGGGTGTTTCTACACTTGTTCCTGTCCGGAACATTTGAGGGTACGGTTCGCGCTGATCCAGCTTCGCTTGGGGGGGGGGGGGGAGGACTGGTGGAAGTTTTTGACAGCCAGCTTCACTTCTGCAGAGCTCACTGGAGTGTCTTGGGAGAGGTTCACTACTATGTTTCAAAACGAGTATGTTCCCCCCAGTGGAGAGGGAACGGTTGGCCCATGAGTTCTTGTCCCTCAAGCAGAGGACAAAGTCAGTGATAGTGATTATGAGGATGTTCCATGAGAGGGCAATGTTCTGCCTTGAGCACGTGTCTACTTAGTAGGTACGAATGAGCCAATATTTGAGTATACTAAGGAGGGACATTCGTGAGTTCGTGGCGAACTCGACATACCGGATAATTGCTGAGCTCCAGGAAAATCCCCCGGAAGAGGGAAATTGAGTTGGAGACTCAGGCCAGAGAGGAGGCGGAGTCTCAGGGGATGGATAGGTGACCAATACAGTCTCTGCCAGTAGCCAAGCGGGCAAAGCCCACTGATTTGAGATCTGGAGGCCAGAAGGGCAGAACTT